TTTTTTTTTTTTTTTTTTTTTTTTTGTATAAAATTCAACCATCAATTTAATGGTTGCATCAATAATGAGACAGCGACGTTACTCTCCCTTATCTTTATCTTGTTATTAAAGTTTGAAATTAAAAAATAGTGGAAATAAAAAATAAAAAATATGCGTGAAGCCACGTGTTGGAATTTGATTGGATTTATATTTAAGTAAGAGAGTTGGGTTTTGCTTTCTCGAAATTATATTTTATTTGGGTTTTTGTTATTATTGTTATTTCTTCCATTAATATGAAATTGAAGCTTTTTTTTTTTTAATATAATTAGAGAAAATCATATATTTTAAAGGTGGGTTTTTTTGTTTTGGGAAATTTCAAATCAAATATTTTATTTTTCCTAGTAAATTTTAAAATAGATGGCATCGTTATCGTTAATATTATAATTGAGAATAAAATATAATTTTATTTTTAAGTAATAGTCAAACTAATTCATGGACTATTTAAAATTATTCTCGACTGTAATGTTAATTTTAAAATTTTTGGGACTAAATAAATAATAATTTAAAACCTTCATGTAAAAAACATATTTTAACTATAATAATTCTTAAGGATGCAGATTGATATTTTATTTAAATAAATAATGAAATCTTATTCAATGACACATAAATATGGATATATATATCGAGTAATTTGTTGACATTTTTGACTAATCTCTTTTATTATTCACAAAAGAGTAAGATTAAGATGTGAGGCGCTAGACCCTCTCTATAGTAGACACGTTTTAAAACTATGAGATAATACATAACGAGCTAAAACGAATAATATCTGTTAACGATGGATTTCGACTGTTACAAATGGTATTAGAGCCAAACATCGGGTAGTGAGGATGTTGGGCCCCTAAGGCAGGATGGGTTGTAAAATCTCACATCGAGTGAAGAATGGAACAAAGCATAGACGCGTTTTAAAATAGGGGAAGTAGACACGTTCTAGGGTTTTTTTATTTCAAATTATTATTTTTAATTGAAAATATCTTTAGAGTAACAAAGTTTAGTGGAAAATTGAAGGATCTAAAATAGAATAGGATTCTAATTAAGGTGAAATCAAGGTTAGTGGATGTGGTGCATTCAACGCTAAATCAACCAAGTATTGCATACCATACTTAGCACATAAGGAATTATCTCTCGAATTGACTTATGCTTTCTAACCATTTTAAGATTAAGCCTACATCGCTGTCATAGATATCGTTGTGGAGTATACATCTCCAGTCATAGATATCGTTGTGGAGTATTACATCTCCAGTCGTTACTTTTGTGTTAGAATCTATACGATATCTCGAGAACTTCTAAAAATTCGAATTGACCAAACATGAGAGAGAACCTCCATAGCACAAATCGATTTCCCATTCTACCTTGATCTTAGAATTATATATACTTATATAGTTTTAAAACAAATTATTTAAGCGTTAAATAAAATAATAGGAAGCATAATGTTGAATAATTTATCTATTTTCGAGTAGTTTCTCATTAGGCATAATTATATTTAAAAAAATGTAAAAACAAAGAATTTGGACAAAATCATTGTGGGCCCCGGAAGAGTTAGAGAGAGAATGTGATGTGGCAAGAGTGCTGGTTATGAAAGGGACAGGTGGAGGTGGTGGCCCCACTTAGGAACACCCTAAGATCCCTATCCCTAACCCCCTAAATAAATTAAAATTTAAAAAAAATAAATAAATAAATAACCACATCATGTATTCCTATACTTCCAACACTTTCCATTCATGCCCCCTGACTCTCTCTTTTTACACAAAATCCCCCCCTCCCATGGACCCCACTTAAAAACTCTCCGTTTCCATTTACATTTCGCTCCCCTGAAAAAGACAAAATTATAAAATTGACCCAACGCGACTCCTCAACCAATACCCATTACTTTTTATTTATTTTAAGAATTAGATTCCCATAATTACTAGAGTAACCCATAAAATTGTCAAATAAATAAATAAATAAATAATTTTGGAAGCATTAGGAATTGGAATCCGTGTGAAAGGAGTAAGGTAAAAAGGATGTGGGCCCTACCTCACTGCCACTCCCCAACACCGATATTTCCGGGAGTCCGACGTGTCATCTTTTAAACCTCCTCCTCCGTTCCTTTTTTCTTTATTCTTTATAATTTTAATACTAACATACGCCTGAATTTCGCTAAAATACGCTACGTCCCCCCCTCCCATGTCTCCACTATACCCATCATCATCGGATTCAATCAAAGCATAAATAAAGATTAGAGAAATTTGTGTAAGAAAATGACACAAATTTGAGACAGGATAAACAGAGGCTGATCAGAGATTTGAAGAATTTGAAGAGAAGAATGAAATATGTGTTTTTTCTTGTTCTAAGGCATGATTACACGAACACTGGCGTTATTGGTAGAGTTGCAGATGGGACAATGGTGTAGAGATGAACCACAAACAGTACACAAACACAGATGCCTGCATGGCAATAGCAGCACGCATGATTCTTCCTTCCAACAGTTCTTGCACCGTCTGTCCTCCTCCTCCTTCTCCTTCCTTCTCGTCTTCCTCCCTTTTCTCCTCTCTTCTTCAACTTCCTCCTCCTCCTCCTCCTCCATATCTCCGCCGTTGCTTCCGCAGCACGACTCTGCCTTCTCCTCCTCCTCCACCTCCTCCTCCTTTTTCACGTCTAACAGAACAAGTTCCAGGTCGCTCCGGAGGGCATTTGCGGTGGCTTCGTTCGTCTCAGCCACATCACGCCATATTTGATTCTCCATGCATAGACTATTCACTCGTTCTTCTAGTTCCCAATTTAGTTTCCCCATCTTCTCGATCTCTTCCTCTTTGCTCCTTAAAATCCCCATCATCCCTACTTCTATCGCCTCCATAATCCTTCTCGCTTCTCTCTTCCGTTTTTCTTCCATTTCCATCCTCACCTTCTCCATCTGCTTCCATACAAGTATATACGTCAGTAATTAAACCACCAAAACGTTTCTCAACCACTACTTTTCCTATTTATATATATATATATATCAATAAATTTAAAACAGCGTTCGATA